GTTCGGGCTTAATCTTCAGCAAAAACAACGCCACCGTGAGCGTCGAGGGCTGGGAGCACCGAGTGGCCCTCGGCTCCGTGGGCTTTTCCCGGGGCGTCCACTACTGGGAGTTCACCATCGACAACTACACGGCAGACACGGATCCGGCCTTCGGAGTGGCCCGCATCGACGTGGCCCGCAACAAAATGCTGGGTGAGTACCACTCCGCTCCGTTCACCTTTCAGTGGGTTACTGGTTGCATTTGAAATTCAATTAACAATTCAAAGCAGAGGATAGAAACTTTGATCGAAAAAAGATGGGGACCAGAAGTGGAAAATCTGCACAACAAATAGATTCTGGCGTTGACAAAAGATCCAATACGAATGTGCAAAGTTCGCAGCTAATAGACAGGGATTCTCGAGGGGATTCGGGGTATGGGGTTCGGGGTTCGGGAACTTAAAACTTTGCCATTTTGCCGCCTCGCAGTGCGAAGCCAATAAAATCGAGTGCCAAGTAGGGGGGCGTATCGAAAACTTTTGCCATTTCTTGTTGCATGTGCGAGGAGCGGAAGGAAGCCGAAGGATGAGGGGCTTTCGTTACCAGACTGGGACAAACACAAACAAAGGACCCAACGGAGGCGCCTTGAAGTATGCCTCAGCAAATTGATTGAAAATGTGCGTGGTTGCGTGGGTGTGGGTGTTGGTATGGGTGTTAGTGTGAGTGTGGGCAGGCCGCTTCAATGGGCGCCTTGAACTGCAGACAAAAGTAATTAAAAGTGCGGCACTTAAACTTTTGTCAAATGCAAAAGTTTATTTGCGGCATGGGCAACGCGTTCTTTTTGTACTTTCAAGACCTCGCTCTGTGTATCCTTTTCACTTACACAATTTATTCCCCAAGCTGCTCACGCGCCATTTAACACGTGCCCGCCAGCGGACCAATGCATCCCGATGCTCCCTTAAAACTCAAGTTTCCGAATTAAATTTTCATATGCAAAGCGATGCGAAACTGCGGAGCAGGTGGCGCCCCCAGCGACTGACATTGACACTAACAGTTGCAGTTTGCCAAGTTGTTTTACGACCCTCATGCGTTCTAAAACCCCCACAGCCCACCTTCCTGCAACACGCGTTGCTCCTGCATTTGTCAGTTATAATTCCGCAGGACTGGAACGACAGACGGCAAACTGACGGGCCATGGATAGTGCAAGTCGGGGGACTTATCTTGCAGCCGGAGTTTAAAGTTCGCAACTTCAAGACGACACTGAGTTCAGGAAGTCAGTGAAACCAAACTATTAAAACTAAGCAAGCAAATTGAGAATCTGAGAAGAAAGAAACACATGTTTGAGAAATGTAATCATTTATACAAGGACGAATTAAGACTTATTAACGATTAGTTTGAGTGAGGGGTCCTCGCCAAAAATTACCTAATCATTATATACCTGATATTTTCATTTTTAAGTTCCAGTAATTTGTAAGCATTACCTAAAAATTTTCTTCGGAAAGATCCAATACAAATATTTTAATAAAAATGTGTTTTTTTTTGTTTATTTTTATACAAAATATAATATTTTATTAGTTAGTTTATAAATATTTATAAGCAATATTATTCTTTAATATTATAGACTTCCAAACAATCAAACGACTTTTTAATAAGCACTATATACATAAATATACTTAGATCTAGGCGTAGAAGTGCTTACGATTTTAATAATATAAATAGTAGAGAATTTGTTTGGGATAAATGAAAGTTAAGCCAAAATAAATGATATGGTATCACATTTAGACAATGCTAATTAAAAGCCATGCAAATTTATATATTTATAGATTATTTAATGTAGCTATTTTGAGGGTGATTTAGTTCATGGTTCGCTTAATAGCACTTTGCAATATTTATCCCAAAAAAAAACCTTTTTGGTTTAACAACTAATGTATTATTTGGTTTATTATCCTCCTCAGGCAAGGACGAGAAGTCATTCGCCATGTACATCGACCGTCAGCGATCCTGGTTCCAGCACAACTCAGTCCACGAGCGGCGGGTTGAGGGCGGAATCACCACCGGGAGCACGGTGGGAGTGCTGCTGGATCTGGAGAGGCACACTCTGAGCTTCCTGGTCAACGAGATGCCGCAGGGATCGGTGGCCTTCCGGGATCTCTACGGAGTCTTCTATCCGGCAGTGAGCATCAACAGGGGCGTCACTCTGACCATGCACACGGCTATGGATGCGCCCAAGATGGACTACTTCTAGGGAAGAGCGAATCGGGTGACAAGTAGCAAATTGTGTACATAAAGCTTGACATTTGGCAGTTATCGGTGTCTATATAGCATTACCTTAATACGAACAGTTTACTCAGACAGCTTACATTTATACGTGTACGTGTAGTTTCGGGCAAAGGTTCAGCGACATATCTCCATTTAATCGTATCTCTATTCGTAGTTCTAGGCACTGTTTGTAAAACGCTGCGCCAAATCAGAGAGAAATTATTAAAAATAATTGAATACATTTAACGGCATTTAACTCGATGTAAAATATAATAACAAAGCTCTGAATGTTTTTCAACACAAAAGTAAAGCCAAAAATCAAGCACCGTGCAACAAAAAAGTAAAATCGCGAACACCAAAAAAACAAATCTAATTTAAACGCAAGCGAATGAAAAACTAAGGTAAAATCCAATTAGCAATTAGTGTAGCTAAAAATCTGCATCTGTATGTCATCACACGTTTGTGTGTTAAGGTTAATGTTTATGGGTAAAGCAATCGCGTTTGTTTGAGGCTAAAATGAAATCAAAATCAGCGTTTTGGGGGAGTTTTTATTTTAAAGACTGAATGAACATGTTTTTTATAAGTACGATAGGAAACCACGGAACAGGAACACTTAAAAGGCCTCATTTAAATGTGCAAAACTAATCACTAAAAACACAACTAAATTTTTCAAAATTTACCTAAAATTAGCGACGTTTAACATTTAAGAGCACCGCGAAAGCTGCATAAATAAATGTCCCCAAACACAAAAACCAATTTAAAGCCCAAAGTTTCGCTTATAAAATCAAATATGCATCAGAATATTAATATTTAATGTATAATTAAGTTCCCTGTAAATATTACTGTACTTTTTTAATAAACATTCGGCTATTCTAGTTTTTTTCTATTTAAGGTGTAATACATAAAATGAAATTCCAATGTATGTACGGACTATTTATACTTTTCAACTTAAGCCTATCTACAGCGAAAACAACAATTAAAGTTAATTACCAGTACTATGCATGTTTAAATATTTATAATAGTAATAAAATTAAATCCAAACAAACCGAAGAGCAAAAAAAAATGTAATTGCATGGGCAACTACGAGCACACACATAAATGAGTTTATTTAAAAAAAACTGAAACAAAATAAATATGAAAAAAGGCGTAATAAAATTAAAGCGAATAGTTGTTTTTAAATTGACTGGGGAAATATTGTTATGGATTCACGTGAAACAATTCCGTGTGTTAAGATGGATTACCCTAAAAACCATCTATTCTTTTCATTTTTAATTGGAGCTCCGCAAAGTGCTTCTGCACTCATAAACTTTACTTTCCCCGCTTTTCCCGAATTTTCACTGGCGAGGCATTAGTGGAAAAGCCTCACGAAGGCGGGAGTTCATTGTGCCAATTTCTGAGCGGATTCCTATGTTTGTTCTGCAGTTTAGCTGTTTTGCTGTTGTTTTTTTTTTTTTGCTGGCGACAGCATTTGAAGCGGGAAATGTGTCACCAACAATATGAATTCTGTTGTGCTGTTTTGGCATTCAGCCACCCGCACACCACACACCACACACCACACACTTTCACAAATTACACACTTAACTTTAGCGCCACGTTTGCTTAGAAAGCAGCATGTGTCAACTGCCAGAGTCGGCATTTGAAGAATGTTTTATGGGGGGTCTGCCATTGTTTGGTGTGTTTGACAAAGGCGAATATTTTAATGAGCACAGCGCGGAAAAAAACTGCCAAAGAAACTCTTGTTGTTTTGGCCCCACATTGTTTGGCACTATATATTGTAGTTCTCTGCAAGGGAAACGCATCAAAGTGCAATTTTTATATCCGGGTTGCAGTTGGGAAACTGACAAGGAAAAGCGCTTAGCTGCCCCCCTCCACATCCGCATCAGCATCCGCATTCGCATCCGCACTTGCATCCGTCCACGGAGACAGGCGACAGGAGACAAGAGATGGAAGACAGGACATGGGACACAGGACTTGCAGCAGCTGCTCCATCGTCGCCTGCTTCATAAATCATAAAAAACTTTCGCCGCACGTCGCCGAACAAGAACAACTTGCCGACAAACCACCGTACCCTCATTTTCCCAAACTCCAACCCACGACCCCCCCTCGGGAAAACTTGCCCCCGCAAACTAACCAACAGCTGCTAAGTGTTGAGTAAATGTTTTCGCGCCTCGTTGCGCTCTCAAATTCCCAAAACGTTTCCATTTGTTGGTATTAGTGCGGCTATATGGCGGATGTGGCACGTGATTGCCACAGTTTTCCCGTTCCAAACCAACCCAAACTCATAAATACGGAGAAAAGCTCGGATGCCGAGCTTGAACTTTTCACGCGATATCGGTAAGTATTCTGCAGGAATATATATTTATAGCCCTCTTCTGGTGGATAACTTCGTGATGGTTTTCAGTAAACACTACAAGATTATATTTAAGGTCAAAGTAAGACGTCGTTGTATTATATTTTGAATAAAAAAGAGCGAAATGTTCCGTTTCCACTTAAAGCCTTTTTTTTAACAATCAATTTAAATTGTGACGACTACATATAAGATATATATTTTCATGACCCTAGGCAGTAAAATTGTAAGCAACCTTTAATTAATAAAGATAATTTAAGAAACAAAACAAAATGCTTTTCAGAATTAATTTAAATCGTAAAAAAAATGTATTTTTGTTATCATGATTTATTTGACTTATGATTTGTAACTGACTCATTACATTACCCATTAAAAAGATCTGAGACTATATGTATTTTTAGCATTATATAACATTTTATGCCGTGTCTAATTATGATACATTTAATGAACCATAAAACCAATCATTTTACATTGTTCTAAACACCAGTTATTTTCCGCATAAAATACAACGCTTAGTCTAAAGCTCCGAAGTGGGATCGGTAACTGTAATTTTCTCATCATTTTTCTGTATCTGATCCTCCTGATCTTTTTCCCGCTGCTCCTCATTCCCTGCAATGCTCCCAGCTTCCTGCTCCTGCTCTTCCGGGTTTCCATCCAACGAGGTTTCTGTGGTCAACAGTGGCACTTCCTCCTCCACCGATGATCCTGTAGTGACTTCCGAGTGTCCTTCGTTGGCTTCCCAATACTGCATCACTTGCAGCATCCTTGGCTGAATCGAACGCCTGGCACTGTTGGCCCAGAGCACGTCCATGTGGTTCCACTTGCGGTACAGATGGTTCTCCACCAAATTTGGCAGTAGCTTCGCCAACCGCTGGACATCCTCCACCGCCGCCAGGTAGTCATTGCTGCCGAAGTACAGGGCCACCGGAGCGGTGATCCTCTCCAGGCGGTAATCCGGCGGAGATGGCTGTCCATATAGGCGCTGGTTTTCCTTGGGGTCGTAGTCGAACTGGCAGAAACGATCGTTGGTCTGTAGTTGTAAATAATGCAGCGGTTGTTTGACATTGCAGCCACCAGGTATATGGCCCATCACCAGCGGAAACATGGTCTGTAAAAATGGGGATTTCAGTGAAGGGTTCTTTGAAGGAGTATATACCAACCATATTCTGCTCCTCCCGATTCTTCCCCACAATCTGCCAATAGAATCGCATACAGGTCTTCAGCATGCCAGCGGAGGAAAAGCACTGGTTGAAGAACAGAAAGGAGTGTGGAAGTAGCTCAGAGTTTTCACGAAACATGTTGATTCCCATGCGGGCCATGCCCATCAGGGGTGCCTTCATATGTTTCATAAAAGCCACAGGAGCCAGAGCACTCATCACATGGATCTTCGCATTGTACTCGGGTCTGCTCGAAGCCATCACGAAGAACGAGGTGGTTCCCTGGGAGTGGCCGAAGTAGCTCAGTTTCTGGTATCCCGTCTTCTCCAGCACCCCATCTATCATGGCCGGCAGATCGTACATCCCGATCTCGTGCCACGAGAAGCTCCAATAGGCCTTGTCCGTGTTGGGATTCAGTTTCACATGGCCCTTGGAGTAGCGATTCCCCCGCACATTGCCCAGCCACACATCGTATCCGTTGGCGTAGAGAAAGTAGCCAGGGCCACTGTGTGGACCCATCATAATCCAGGTGGCAGAGGTGTCCTCCAGGCCATGAACCAGGAGCACTGGCTTGGCTCCCGGTCGGGGAATGCGGTGGAGGGTCAGCACATACTTGTCCTCCGTGGTCACCTGATGCGACTCCGCCGGATGCTTGTACTTCTCCAGCAGTTGTATCTGCAAAGATAGAAGGGCGATCAGTAAAATGATATAATCATGATATAAATTCAAATCTCACTGTGGTCAGGTGGGCATCCTCAATCACGCTGGAGGGATAGTTATCCTCCAGGAATCCTCCCGAAACCCAGGAGCCGTCGAGCGAAAAAGCCCCGAGCACTGCGAGAACCCAGATCGCGTTTCGCATGGCGGTCGATCCGTGACTAAATCGGACCTAGTCCAACTCACTGCCCTCTAAAGCGCTATAATTAGTGCCGACTGTTGTTTTAGGTTTTTACTTTCCTTATCGTATCATCGAATCGTGGCGTGGCCAGCTCATTTTCGGTTGTATGTGACAGGTAATGTTCTCCATAACTCCCTCACATTAAAGCAAATAAAAATGTTTCCAAATAACGTGGTCAAAGTTCACTGTGCGACAGAGGCGTTAATTGCACCGATCTCAACTCATTTAATCAGAAACAAGTTATACCAATAAATCATCTGGAACGTCTTAACGATTAAACGAATTCACTAAATTTAAAAGCTATTAATTTTAAACTGTCCTCAATTTCAACATTTAATGCTTTTTAAAACGAAATAAATGACAAGCATATTATTTTCAAAATACAATTAAATAGAGCCATAAATAGGAAAAAAAAACAAAAACCGATCAAAAGCAATAATTATCTTACAAAAATATTATATATTATATAATTTCTAATATAATTACTATGGGATAACTTAATTGACATGGTTTTATAATATGTGTCGTTTAAGGTTAGATAAATATTACAAAACAAACCTATGAAGTTGTATTTATCAATACAAAAATGATTAAGAAAATGTGCTGCTGATATACAAAGTATATATATTTTGTAACCTTTTTGATTTGAGGTGTTCTAAAAGCAAATGAAAATGTTTCCTTACAACTTTATGTAATCAAACTTTTGTTGTCAGAAATTCTTCAACCTTAAACTATTAAATCGCTTTATAAATCAGGAAATACTATATAATATTATTGATTTTAGAGATGTTCTCTGTTCTAGGCACTTGAACTATTTGAGTACATGCATATCCTATTGCCCACCGTCGACCAAATCGAAGTGCTCTCCCTTCAATTAGATTTGCGTCGCCACTTCGGAAAGTGTATGATCCTAGAAATGTTTGCCGGCTTAATTGGAAAATTTAATTTTTAATTCAGTTGTGGAGTGGACCGTGTCCACTCTGCCAAACATTTGAATCGTCCCTTTCATTGCCTACGTCGACGCTTTCTTTTTTCGCAATTGATTGGCAAAAATTGATTTCAGCCTCTGCATAAAATATTTGCCGCTCCTTTATTTGCAGGAACTGCTGTCACGGCGACGACTGACAGGCTGACAAAGCGGCGTGGACGGAGTGGACGGAGCGGAATCCTTTCCAGGCCCGGCCGTGCCCGGATTTTCGATTCGGATCCGGCGATGCTCCGATGCCGGGATAGGCCTGATGTGCCGGCCAACGTTTCGACATTTGACAAATAACTTAATTCGCCGTTGTCACCACATGTTGGCAATGCCAGGCCATGGAAGCGGGTGGTAGTGGGTGGGAAGTGGGTGGGAAGTGGGTGGTAGTGGGTGGGATGTGGGTGGGTAGTGGCTGGGAAGTGGGTAAACATGGGGGGAAAGTGGCAGCCTTGGCAACTTGACATCCCTGGCATGCGGGCACATGTGGGCAGTGCACAAGTCAGTTGGCAGGATGTTGAAGTTGAAGCCTCGGTTTCATGCTTGATGGGCGAGAACTTCGAGGGACAATGGCTCCGGGTAGCATTTAAAATTAATTTGCTAGAAGTGTCAATGGGGATATCTTCGCAAAGAAAATGTATATATATATACACAATAATATGTAACGCGTGTATTTATTGGGCAATCTTTGTACTTCTAAAACAATTGTTTGATCTTCTTTAAAGTACCTTAGAAATTTAAAACACATTTGTATAATAATTTTAGGTCACTTTTGGGTACTACAAATGACAAATTGCAATTATATTAAAAAATATCTATAATCAAAAACTGCAATTATTTTAAAATTAGCCATTCGAATTGGTATTTTTGTTTAATCGTTATATAAAAACCTGTTAAAATTAAATTGCCATTAAATCGACTTGAAAAAAAAAGGAAAGGAATCAAACTTCGGCTTGCCCTTGCAGTTATAACAAAAATGAAATATTGTAAAAACAATGTCGATTTTCATGCAACTATGTTATACATTTTTCGATTTTTTCTATTGCAGCTATGTTGTATAGTCGTCGCTTAAAAAAATAAAAATTCACTAGGTATTCTTCGATTATTTTAATATATTATAATAATAATATAATAATAATATTTTACAATTTAATTTACCAATTGTTTTTATGAAATTCATTTGGGAAAGTTTCATCCAGATAGCTTAAAAATAAAATTAAAGAATCAAATAACTAATTTATATAAGTTAAGAGTACTGTGCTCCATCAAGTTTTCCCAGAAAATCGAAACCCAAATCGTTGCCCTTTTGACCCACTTTTTACAGCCCACAAATTTAGCTGTCAGCTGAGTTACCCAATTTCCTGGTCTCACCTTAAAAGACCGACCGGCCAAGAAGGTGGTTCGGTTAAGTCCCGACGCGTGCCACGACAATTAGCCATTGGCCTGCCTTCCAATGGATTTGCGTTATTATGGTGCCAACTGCCAATCACACGACAATCAGCAGGCCGAAAGCCTGGCTGGCCAGGCAACCCGCTTGGCCAACAATGAAAACGAGACCAATCAATTGGCCAGGGAGCCCTTAGTGGGAGCTGTGCTGAGACAATGGGAGCACAGCTCTTAGCCTTAAATGCCCAAAGCAAATAGCCGTCCACACTGGGAAAATAACTTTGAAAGTAGATCGAAGTTAAAAGGAGCAGAATTAGAAATATCAATTAAAATGTTTGACAAGCTCTATGTAAGAATATTAAAAAACTACAAACTACTACAAACTCCAAAAGTGGGAAACATTCATAGGTTCATACATGAACTCAACTGACATACAATTTGGAAAGAAAGTAAGCCTAATTGATAATCATTTGTTAATATTGCTATTATGATATCGTATTCAGTGCAAAAGCAAAGATTCAACATTTGGTTAATAGTTTTATTAACATTTTGTATATGTTTCACTTAGTGAAATGAAATGTTTCTGAGAAGAAAGAAAATAAATGAGTATTCTGTGTTTGAATTTTAATTTATCCTAGTTATTTTAAATCCAAATATTTTTCACTTCCCATTTAATACTTCCATTTAATATACCTAATATTTTAAAAGTTATCCGAAAATTTAGAGCAAATCTGTTTGAGTGTTTTGAGGTTCAAAGCTCGTTAGTGGCAGCATCTGGCGTGTTGGAGATTATGATCAGCATTGTTCGCTTGTCGTGGTCTCACATTAGTTGCAGCAGTGGCTCAAATCCCCCTCACCCCCTCCCATCAAAGAACCCCTTTATGTTGGCCACGCACGTGACTTTTAATCACGCGCGCATAAAATTTCATGCGAAATCTTTGTCTTGGCCGAAGAGAGCAACTGCCTCCGAGTTTTTGGCTCATTACGGCGCCAAAGAAATAAAAGTGCGTAAAGCCTGAGTGAAACAAGTAGCCGGGGCAAATAAAGGTCAGCCTGTGAAACTTTACGACTTTAGCGAAGTTTTTGGACCTGAGCCAGAACAGGACTCCATTCTTTTGGCCAGTCAAAGGAACAACTTCCACTTTAGCAGAGGTTAAAGTCAAGTGTGGGCCAGTCAAGTTGGTTCGGGGGTCGCCATATTGCACTCACTTCCATTCGGCCTCAGAATGGTACACAGAGAGAAAAATAATAGAAAGATAATAAAAAGATAGCATTGGTGTTTTTAATTTGTTATATTTAAATTTGATCAATTCAAGATTACTCAGTTAGGTTAGGTTCAAGGTTACCATAATTAATCAGACCGAATTGTGAAAGCATTTAATATTCATCATTTAAATGGAAACTTGATCGATTATTAGATATGAATTATAATAATAACGCAATGAAAAAAACATTTAATATCATTTAATAAATAAAAATAACTTTTGAGCTCAATTTTGTATAGAAAATAAGTGTTATTATTTAAATCATATGTAGATGCCATCACTCTTTTGTACACAATATTTGGTAAATTTTTAAATTAAAACAATCATATAGGTATCTTTTTAAATATAAATAAATGTTTTCTGTGCGCTGGACTTGACTCGGAGCCAATTACAATTCGTTTTTTAGCTGTCAGCCCCACTCAACTGCCCCTGGCCACGCCCACTCGCTGTAAAAGGGGATCCCGCCCCCGTTTTGTCTGCGTTTTGTAATTACTTTTGTGCACGTGCCGCAGTACATGGATCTGGATCTGCCTTTAAAATTTATTTCTGCAGTGCGACAAGTTCAGGGTCAGAGTCACTGAATCTCTGCCAGATTCAGGCATTTGCTGGAATTTAATATTCAAGTTTCGCCAAATAGAGCTGCATTTGTGCAACGAACAAGCGGGAATAAAAAATGAATTTAAAGTTAATTAATTTTAAAATTTAATGTCATTTAAAGTTGATTTAACTAAGGGAGTCAACGAGGAGTGAGGTCATAAATTGTTCTCCTCCAATATGATGTGTCGACTGCATGTTAATTCCTGGCCATAAAAAATATGACGCTTCTTCCATTAATTACGTCATTATTTGCGTATTGTCACGGGACCAGAAATATCTGGAGCTGGAGAGTCCTGGCACATCCTGGCGCATCCGTGTTGCCGGCCATCAATAAACTGAACGAGTGATAAGGGATTACAACTGACTGCGGCAACGGCCGCGGAATTGATTAATTTATGCAATACGAGAAGACTTTCAGTTGGAAGGCAAGGCGAGCGTGAAAACAGGATTTCCCACACTGGCCAACAAGTTTCGAGTCGGAAGCAAACAGGAAGGATTCGATTTTACAATGAATATGAATCAGTCAAAGAGCATTCCTGCTGCTCTGTGTCACATTTGAGCTTTGTAAGAGATGCATCGTTATTTAATTTAATATGATTCGTAATTTGCAGCCATAAATTAATTGAATTAAGCCCATTTAATGAAAACTTGTTTGTGTGACTAATTGGACACAAAGAAGAGGGGTCGAAACGGAGCTGCTGTCGGCGATTGATTTGGCTTTGATTTTTGTGGGAATCCGAAAAGGATGGGAAGACAAATGAGTCAGTTTCCTTAATAAAAAATGACAGCACGCTTCTTGGCCATATATATTTGTTGAAAAGCGGAAAAGTTATTTATATACGGGTAAGTACTTTTTTATCTTTTAAGTTATAAAACAGTTTCTTAAACTACAGATTTATATGAACAGATTATTTTGTTACAATTTAAAATGGCATGTGCAATTTTATACAATATTTATGCCAATTAAATAAATTAGTAAAGAGTGTTGAAGTTGCACACAACGTCAGTAGTTTGATTTCATATCATTGTCTTTAAAAGAAACAACTAAAAATGTTTGCCAAATGAATCCACATGGTAATTTGGTTTGCAATCTCAATATAAGCCCAATTACATTTAGTTGGGTGACTAAAATAAAGCTACTATTTACTATTTAAACACTATCAGTTTATCCTGTCACTTGTCAAACAGAACTAAGATGTTCTTACTTAACATTTCTTCAGGTACTTATAACGAAAGCCTTCGAATTTATCCCTTTGCACGACCATTATGAAAGTTTCTATAAATATATTGCATGGCAGGCACTTTGCCCGTTTCATTATCAATATCTGACAAGGACTCCATGCTGCGAAGGCAGCACGAATAATAAATGTAATGTGCTGTAGTCCTTTTCATTACGATAATGAAATATTTCAAGAGCAGTTTATGGGGATTACTTACTTAAATGTGCGAGGCGCATGCAAAAAGCGGATCCCGGAGTCCGGACAACCGTGAAAACACGGCGTAAAACCCACTTCCTCGCTGCGGGTGTGGGTGTGGGTCCACAAGGGGGAGGTTGGGGGAGGATAGGCAGCGAAAAAGGACATGCGTGCAAATATAATCGGCGAGGCGAAAGCCGCAACTATAACACGAACTGTAGCATCGAGCACGCCAAGGCAGGGGCATAATTACGGCATTATCACACACCCACATGCAACCTTCACCCCTTCCCCCTTTGCCCCTCTCCACCCCTGGCCAGCCCACCCACGGAAAACTAACGATAATCAATTGAGAAATGTTTATAATGAAGTGGCGCAACCAAAGGGTTCTCTACCACAACGCTAAGCTCTACACTGGAATGCTTTCGAGGAGCAAAGTAGAAGAATGTTTTTGGGGAACTTAAATTCACCTTAAGGTACATTCTCTAACTAAAACCTAAAAAAACTTGGTTTAGTAAAGAATTAGTTTAAGAATTCCAAAATGGTGTTTTAATTCCAAAATGTTATTTCGAGAAAGAAATTACTGTATTTGCTACCCCTTCTTGTCTTTTAAATTCGTAGGACATATTCTTAAAGATTCAATCCTTAAAAGAAAAAAACAGTAAAAACACTTAATATATAATTTTATGTTTAGCATTTCTGCATTATTGATAGACGACTCCTTCAATAACAAATATAGAAAACAATTAAAGCACTTAAACAAAGGATTAATTCTTCAGAGGTTATATTTTTTCCAATTATATCAATTCCTGTTAATTTCAGTGGTTTCTATTTTCTGCTAGTGTAGTTTCCGCATTATTGTGAGTAGCTGGCGGTAAGCACTTCATTTTCCTGGAGCCCCTCTTGGAGCCCCTTTCCCCATTTCAGTTCGAGGGGCGTGTCGGACAAAAACGCCTAGCCAGCAATCTACTGATAGCGTGTGTGCCCGCCAAACGCTCATTGACCAGGACCTCCCGATTCCCCGATTCCCCGACAAATGTGCTAAGTATACGTTGGCCAGAGAGATAAACATGGCCAACACACACGCACCGTCCAAAGCCGCGGACCACAGAGCGAATTTGGATGTGTGAGTGCGCCTCATTCATGACAACGTCCGTCATAATTCATTGGGTATTGGGCTGGGTCCTGGGAATGAGATGGGACCCCTTAACTGCATTGTAATGAAATTAGCATACACAAGACAAAGTTGCCAGTCGCGCATTCAGCGATAATTGAGTTTAGAATTAGGGATTCAGTAGGATGCACTGTGAAAAATCACAGCCATACTTTTAAAAACAAATCCACCATTTTCTACAACTTAAATTTCATTTTAGTACAGTAAAACTTTTATAACTTGCTATTTTGTGAGTATTTCAACTACAAAGTTAGTTCTTCATGACTTTCATAAAGTAATTATATTACAAAATACAATCTGGATCCAAGGCAACGGCAAAAATATTCGTATAACTTTAAATTAAACTGTTTTGTGCCAAATTTCTTAAGACTTTAATAGGAAAAACCTTAGCTTAGACCAACAAATTTGTTGAAAATATAATTTTTAGTTGCTTAGTTTTTAAGTATTTCTAATGTTAAAGTAATTGTAGTAGAGGAGTACAAATTTATTCTCTGTACATCAGAGGTATTTAAAAAGGGCAGGGCATTGAAATGCAAATGGAAATGCAGTCAGTCAGTCAGAAGGACCGACAGGAAACGGGACACAGCTTCGTGGGCTCAGCTGGGTTAATTTCAGCCCAGGTTAACCCGTGATGACACTGCCACCGAAACAAAGACACGCCTCGGGCTGCGATGAGATCCAAGAGCAGGAACCTGGAGCCAGGAACCTGGGACCAGAAGCCGCACAAATGGCAACCTATTTTCCAAAGCCGCTGCCTCATCTAATTTATGCCAAGAGCAATCGCAACTGCCAATGCCGCCTTATAAACGAGGTGAACTTTTCGCGGTGCCCAGAAGTTCAGAGGGCAATAAACTGCGGCGTTTGTTTATTGTTTAGTGGGTCTAACAAATGAACCACTAGGAAGTTTAATCCTGAATGAGCTTAAAGTGAGTTTATAGTGTGAATTTATACAGTTATATTAAGTTGTTTGATTATTATAAGAATACATAAAAGTTAACATTAGATACAATAACAAATGAACCTTTGGGAAGTTTAATCCTGAATAGCTTAAAGCAAGTTTATAGTGTGAATTTATAAAATAATATTAAATTGTTTGCTTATTATAACAATATATAAAGGTTTACATCAGATACAATATTTAAGACTAATATATTTCATTTAACATTTAATGAGTAGAGTATTAGTCTTCTCTGAATAATTAGTAACTATTTTAGGCTCAGTCGAAATAATTAATGTTAAAATTATATGAATTTCTATTTGTACCCAATGTGTGTGAATCCTTAGATAAATTTATTTACACATTTTACCAGTATTTGATGCATTATCTGATCTCTTTTCAATTGTACTGACCCCTTATGTTCCCAGCCCGTTTTCCTCTCCAAAATCAACATTCAAAACGTTTTGCCGACTGTTTTGGACAAAGCGTTTGTTAGAGCAATCTCCTTTTCCCCACCAAAAAACTACACCCCTCGGGAACAAAAACCCCCCTGGCAAGTGTCACTTAAAGGCATATCGTTTGTTTTTTTCTTTCCCGAGTTCTTTTTACCGAAACTGCAATTCGAGAAATGCAGCCAACTTTTTTCTGCCAGTACCAAAACACTCTTCTTTCTTTCATTTCGGTACTCGCTCCCTCCCTGCGCTTTCAATTTGTGTGTACATAAATTTCGAAATGGACTTCTCGTGTTGGAGCCCCCGACAGCAACAGAAAGAAATGTTTTAAAAAAAAATGTGCACACAAAAAAAGCGGAGAAAAATAAATAAAAATGGAGGGGACCGGCGGAGAAAGCCGAAAGAAAGAAATGGCGTGCGGAAACAAGTGGCCATGACTGCAGGAACAACAACAGCGACAGCTGGAGATAGTGTTCCGCGAGGCAACTGCATAAATAACGCAACAAAGACCCTGGACAAACGCCAATCGAAAGTTGCGTTTTGGGTGGATGAAAAATTTACGAGGCTTGCTTCGAAAATTCCCGCCAACAAATTTAGAAGTGCATAAATTGTGCCAAGGAATTTGAATATATTTAAAACGCTAGAATCCAGACAATGTGGGCCAAATTCTTAGCATTTACTTCGTTTCGTACAACTTAAAGCGTTGACCAAAAGGGCGAAGCTTTTCTTTTGATTGTGTGGCGATTTCCTTGGCCAATGGAGCATGAAATTGCAGAGGGGAGTGGTAATGTAATGGAAAGGGCTGTACTTGTGTGAACATGTAAATGCTCACATAACCATGCCGAACCAGGCACTGAAAGAAACTTCGTTAGTTGCATACCAAATTTAAGGTTAAACATACAATTATTTCTTTACTTCCTAACAATAGTGTTTTCTAAAGCGATATACTTTTGTTAACAACAATTACAAATGGTATTTTATTTAATTTTTTCAAGAAATTAAACATTGTATTTTTAAGAAACCACATTTTTTAATAGCTCGTTTACTTTTAATGAACCTATAAGAGTAAACATAATAGAGAGGTTCCATTTTAAATAGTAAACAAAGATCGATTTTTTAAATTTAATTATTCTTTGAATGAGCTAAATCTTTTCACTTAGGACAATGACGGATTTTGGTTTTTTAAAGAACGCTTTTTTAAAGAATCAAGTATTGTATTTATAAAACAATCGTATACTTAAAACAACTCTCGTGAAAGAAACTTATTTGAAAGGAAACCTAATAGGTAAGTCATCCTTAAGAATATTTATAAAATCGAATGCTTAAACTTTTTTTGAGTGTGTTAAAGTTCAAATGTTAAAATCTTCATACCACTTAAGACTGTGAAGCGTTCTGCTTGAGTGAGAAAGGGTCCGGCTCAGAATTGAACTGAGCTCAGGAGCAACTGAGACAGTCGAAAGTCACACCAATTGCGATTGACTGGAAGCCCGGAAAGTGTCCATCAGGCGGAACGTAAGAGGTGAGGAGAACAACCGATCGGAATGCCATAAAAACTAATAATATAAAGAGCATTCATATCGATGCGATAGGCGACTGCCGCCGATTTCCACAGTTGGATTACTAATTGAAAACACTCGTGACGGAATCCGATAACCTACGGCATCCAAATTCAGGCCATAAAGGGTGAAATCGCTCGTTAGTCCTCCACATGACCGTTAAGTGTCTGCAAAACCTGATTCCTGGATTCCAACATATGGCTTTATATGGCTGTGGGCCCCAGTGTCATCATTACCATGACTAGGATTACGATTACTGTCATCGTCATGTCATCACAAACACACGCAGACTTAGTGAACGTCTTTATGGCTTTTGGCGCTGAAATGATAAGAAAAGTTTTTGCTGAACATTTCCCGGACGGGGGCTTATGTCCATGCTGGAAACATATGGCATATTGCCAGGCGAAACATTTAATGGTCTGCAAAATGGCCGGGGCCAGGACATTAAAAGTTGCTTAACCTTCATTAGGCGCCCGATTCCGATGCCGACTGACAGCGAGATGAAATTTAATATGTGTCGAGCCCTGTCGGAGGGCTTAATGCTCCATTTGTGCAGGGCCGCGCTGCATCCAAATGATATGCCTGGAAAAGGGACAAATCACCGCAAGTTGGCAAGAATCGGAGGCGCCGGCGAGGAGCTTTAATCAGCACTAAAGGGGTGTAGGGACCCAGGCAGTCAAACTCAATTTCCAGCTTGTTTCACGGGACGACGACCGCAACCACCAGACCCACCAGAGGCGCTAATGCGGCGACATGGCATTATCCTACTTCCTTTCGCGACTTCTTTCCCAACTCCTTCGACCGCGCCTGCACTCTGCTGGGCTATTTTGATAATCAAATTTGCGCAAACAAGCGAGTGGCGTGAATTTGCCAACGCCACCGGAACAAGGACGAAACAAGGACCATGGATAATAACGGTTGCGCTTCGTGCACTTGTGCAATTAGATTGGCAAAACTTCGGGAACTTTACTTTATCTAAAAGGCTTTAAATTATCTTTTCTATTCTTTTGATTTAAAATATTTTTAAAGTGTTTGTTTTTAAGCCCTTTAGAACTTCTCATTTCCCCAAAGCTATGAAACGCCAAGTTATCAGAAACAGCATTACAGCTGACTTTGGTATTTTATTGACATTCCATTAAATTATTTAGATAGGAGTATTCCAATTTTAGTTTACTATTTTACAATTTTAACATTTACAAAAATGTTTTTCAAGTATTGGATAAATTATTAATATTAAAGTTATATTACAGTTTTGAAAAATTGATTCGCTTATTATAACATTAGAAGATAATTTCCTTAGCATTGGTTGGGAAAAGCATATCTTGTTAATTTCATGGTCTGTTATCTGCGAACCTATAAAAGGGTCTTGTAAAATAAGCCATTCAAAACGAGCTAAGAGAGCCAGAATGCTACTCGTTTTCTACGCGCTCTTAGCGCTCCTGACGCTAAATAGAGTGGCACCCAGCACAGCAGTGTTTGGCCTCCAAAGGATAAATGATAGAGTCAAAGGCTTTATTAACAATCTACAAATACCTGCGATTCAAAACTCTTTGGAATTTAAACTTGGTGGATCGGCACATTTAGACCCTAAAGAAGCGTTAAATCAATGGGGCATTAATCAACTGCAATCAAATCAACAACTCGGGATAAACCCTTCGATAATCCAAATTAACTCCAAACTGACCCAGCTCAACCAAGCAAATCTAGAGGGCTCGCAACCAGGATATGTGCTCCATGGTCAATCAAACCAGACTATTAATGCTGGTATTGAGTTTCAGCCAAACCTGCTTATAAAAAACCTTCCCTCTTCCCAGTCACAGTTAACTCCAGCGCAGTTACAAGCAAGTTTTAAGTTAAAAGGACTATTGCAGTTAAAAGGACAAGGGGAAGATAAGCACAAGCTCAAAACCAAGCGCGATTACAAGTGTGGATACAAGGTCAATCTCAACCACAGGCACAAGCACAAGCTGAAAACCAAGCTCATTTGCAAGCCTTGGTACAAGGTCAATCTCCCTCTACAAGGACAATGGCTGACACAAGCACAAGCCCAGGCGCAAGCAGAAACAGAAGCCCAAGCACAAGCTGAAAATCAAGCGCAGTTACAAGCGTTGGTTCAAGCTCAAATTCAACCACAGGGTCAAGCACAATTAGAATCCCAAGCGCAAGCACAAGCTCAAGCACAAGCAGAAGCGCAAGCAAAAGCTCAAGCACAAGCTGAAGCACAATTGCAAGCTCAACTACAGGCTCAAGCAGAAGGGCAATTGCAGTCCCAAGCGGAAGCACAAACGCAAGCACAACAAGAAGCTCAGTTACAAGCACAAGCTCAAAATCAAGCGCGATTACAAGTGTGGATACAAGGTCAATCTCAACCACAGGCACAAGCTCAAAACCAAGCGCGATTACAAGTGCGGATACAAGGTCAATCTCAATCACAGGCACAAGCACAAGCTGAAAACCAAGCTCATTTGCAAGTGTTGGTACAAGGTCAATCTCAACCAGCACAATTAGAATCCCATGCGCATTTACAATTGCAAACGGGATCGGAAGCGCAATCACAAGCTCAATCACAAGCTGAAGCACAATTGCAAGCTCAACTACAGGCTCAAGCAGAAGGGCAATTGCAGTCCCAAGCGGAAGCACAAACGCAAGCACAACAAGAAGCACAGTTACAAGCACAAGCTCAAAACCAAGCGCGATTACAAGTGTGGATACAAGGTCAATCTCAACCACAGGCACAAGCACAAGCTGAAAACCAAGCTCATTTGCAAGTGTTGGTACAAGGTCAATCTCAACCAGCACAATTAGAATCCCATGCGCATTTACAATTGCAAACGGGATCGGAAGCGCAAGCACAAGCTCAAGCACAATCTAAAGCACAATTGCAAGCTCAACTACAGGCTCAAGGAGAAGCGCAATTGCAGTCGCAAGCGGAAGCACAAACGCAAGCACAACAAGAAGCTCAGTTACAAGCACAAGCTCAAAACCAAGCGCGATTACAAGTGTGGATACAAGGTCAATCTCAACCACAGGCACAAGCACAAGCTGAAAACCAAGCTCATTTGCAAGTGTTGGTACAAGGTCAATCTCAACCAGCACAATTAGAGTCCCATGCGCATTTACAATTGCAAACGGGATCGGAAGCGCAAGCACAAGCTCAAGCACAAGCTGAAGCACAATTGCAAGCTCAACTACAGGCTCAAGCAGAAGGGCAATTGCAGTCCCAAGCGGAAGCACAAACGCAAGCACAACAAGAAGCTCAGTTACAAGCACAAGCTCAAAACCAAGCGCGATTACAAGTGTGGATACAAGGTCAATCTCAACCACAGGCACAAGCACAAGCTGAAAACCAAGCTCATTTGCAAGCGTTGGTACAAGGTCAATCTCAACCAACACAATTAGAATCCCATGCGCATTTACAATTGCAAACGGGATCGGAAGCGCAAGCACAAGCTCAATCACAAGCTGAAGCACAATTGCAAGCTCAACTACAGGCTCAAGCAGAAGGGCAATTGCAGTCCCAAGCGGAAGCACAAACGCAAGCGCGATTACAAGTGTGGCTACAAGGTCAATCTCAACCACAGGCACAAGCACAAGCTGAAAACCAAGCTCATTTGCAAGCGTTGGTACAAGGTCAATCTCAACCAGCACAATTAGAATCCCATGCGCATTTACATTTGCAAACGGGATCGGAAGCGCAAGCTCAGGCGGAATTACAAGCTCAAGCGCAAGCTCAAGCTCAAGCTCAAGCGCAAGTTCAATCGCAACAAAAGACTCAATCATTTGCTGAAGCTTCTGGTCAATCGTATATATACGGTAATCTTCAGAAAGGACAGGAAAGACCTTTAGTGGTATCTTCCAACCCGGGAATTGGAAACCTCGATTTAGGTTATAGTATCTACAATAATGAACACCCGCTATACTTATCGCAAGCGGACATTGAAGCTGACTCCAAGCTGCAGACGGTGAGTAATTCCAAATTATTTAACAAATTTTTTTTTTTGGCTAAATAAATGTTATCTTTCTTCTAATTAAACTGATAGGCGAACTTGATCCAGAAATATGGTTACCCATCAGAAACCCATTTTGCTCATACAGCCGATGGCTACAAGCTCGGCTTGCATCGAATTCCGCGATCCGGAGCTACACCCGTTCTGTTGGTCCACGGCCTAATGTCCAGCTCGGCCTCCTGGGTGCAGTTCGGTCCTGCCAGTGGCCTGGCTTACATCCTTTTCCGAAAGGGCTACGATGTCTGGATGCTTAACACAAGGGGTAACGTGTACTCGCAAGAGCGCGGAAATGGTCGCCAGAGCGATAGGGATTTCTGGGACTTTTCGTTCCACGAGATCGGCCAGTTCGATTTACCCGCCGCCATCGATTTGATCCTGCAGCAGACCAACATGCCAAGCATCCAATATATCGGACACTCCCAGGGCTCCACCGTTTTCTTCGTAATGTGCAGTGAAAGACCCGATTATGCCCCTAAGGTGCGGCTCATGCAGTCCCTCTCGCCAACGGTCTATTTGCAAGGATCCCTCAGTCCAGTACTCAAGTTTATGGGCCTTTTTAAGGGTGGCTTCACTGTAAGTAGGAGTAGAGCATTAAGTAATATATTCCACAATAATTTTAAAAATGATTTGCTTTGATAATCAACTATTTATACCCGTTACTCGTAGAGTAAAAGGGTATATTGTATTCGTGCAAAAGTATGTAACAGCTAGAAGGAAGCGTTTCCGACCCTATAAAGTATATATATTCTGTCCGTCTGTCCGTCTGTCCGTCTGTCTGTCCGTCTGTCTGTCCGTATGAACGCTGAGATCTCGGAAACTATAAAAGCTAGAAGATTGGCATTTTGCATGCAGATTCTAGGAGTTCCTACGCAGCGCAAGTTTGTTTCAAAAAGGTGCCACGCCCCCTTTAACCCCCACAATCGCTTATATACGATTTTAAAAATTTAAATATTTCGGAAAAGTAAAAATGCAGTTTTATTGAGTTTATCAATACCTATCGAAATGTAGAAGAAAATTTTTAAATCGGACCATTCGTTAAAAAGTTATGCGTGATCAAAGTTTCTATCTCCATCTCCCTCGCACTCCCTTTACCTGAGTAACGGGTATCTGATGGTCGGGGCACCCGACTATAGCGTTCTCTCTTGTTTTTTACTAAGATTTTTGTTTAAGAATACGAATATGTATCCAATTCCATTCTGTTACAGATGCTGATGAATCTTCTAGGCGGTTACAAGGTCTCTCTAAACACCAGACTCATCCAACAGTTCCGCCGGCACATCTGCTCCGCCTCCCGATTGACCAGTCGCATCTGTGCTATCTTTGAATTTGTGGTCTGCGGCTTCAACTGGCAGAGCTTTAATGAGGTGGGAAACCGATATCTATCAAGGATCGGGATAATTAACTTTGTTTATTCTTAGACCCTTACCCCCATTTTGGAGGGTCACTCCTCGCAGGGCAGCTCCGCCAGGCAGATCTACCACTTCGCCCAGTTGCAGGGCAAAAATGTGTTCCATCGATACGACTACGGCCGCCTCCTGAATCGCTTGCGCTACCAATCCTGGTTCCCGCCCCTCTACAATCTCACACGGGCGACCAGCAAGGTGGTTCTCCACCACGGCGGAGGTGACTGGCTGGGATCGGAGGCGGATGTGAACCGGCTGCAGGCGCAGCTGCCCAACTGCATCGAAAACCGGAAGGTGGGCTACGATGGCTTTGCCCACTTTGACTTTACAATCTCCAAGGACGTTCGACCACTCCTCTACGATCGCGTCCTTGAGCTTTGCATTTTATACCGCTAGATTTGTGAAAGGCCAACACATTTTGCAGAAGAAATATTAACAAAGCAACAAACGATTGGCTTTGGATTTGGATTGGACTTATCAAACAAATTTTGATAAATAATAAAAAAAACCCAAACTATTGGTTGTCTTAAATTAAAAAGTATTTATGTTCTATTTTTAAATAAGTCTACATGGCTACATACCCTATGATGACGTACATCCATTTAATTTTGAAATTCTATTAAATAGATTGTCGTAATATAATAAGTTTTTTTTTTTTTTAATTCAACAAAGGATACTACGTAGTCAGTATTTAAAAATTTAAAAAAGGAGTAAAGCGTGATTTCAAGGCTGTTTTATCTGCTTGTAACCTTCATAAAATTGTTCTTTAATGATGCAACATCGGCATGTTAATCGGCATATCTGAAGTTAGGAACCCCACTCAAAGCATGACATTTTTAATTTCAACGTGCCTTAAAGTCAAACCTATAAAAGGGCTCGGTTCAATTTGCTTTCTGGAGTAAACTTAGCATCGGAATGACGGTCGCATTTATTTTCGCGATCTGTGCGTTATTTTTACTTGGTACTCTGGTACCCAGCGAGAGTCAGCAATTCTGGCACACATTTGGAGGCAATGGGATTCAACAACAGAACACGGATGAACAATCACATTCCATATTTCAGGTATGCGAGTCAGAAGAAATTCCGCTACAACTTCAATTTAACCTGTTAATTTAATATTAGAGCTTTGGATTTGGCGATCAAAATCTGGGAGGCTCTTTCCAGTCGCAATCTCAATTCCAATATCAGTCACAGCCGCAGTCAAACTCACACTCACTGTCCCAATTACAGTTCCAAATAAACTCATTGTCGGCAGGATCACCTGTGCAACTACAGTCCCATCAAGAATTCCAACAACTGTCCCAATTACAATCCCCACTACAATCCCAACAACAGTCCCAATTAAACTCACTGTCGTTAGGATCACTGACCCAATTAAACTCACCGTTCCAATTGCAGTCCCAACTAGAGTCCCAACAACAGTCCCAACTACAATCCCAATTACGGGCACACGCAAACTTACAGTTATCGTCATCCTTGTATCCGCAATCACAGTCGCAGTCGCAGTTACAATCTGAAAATGGCCAAATCGAAGAAGAGCCTTCATTAATTTTAGACCCAAAGCCCAAGTATGTTTTACCAGGTCTCCTTGAAGTCCCACAGCAATCCAATCCAGAATGGTACTTCATTAGCTCCATGCTAAAACCAAAACGTTATATCGATACTTCAGTTCAATCACACAACTTGATTCAGTCGCAGTTACAGTCTAGGTTAAATATACTAATGGATCAGTTCAGGGCACAGCAATCCAAGACTCCTTTTTTAAGATGTTACTTCCTCGCTACGAAATAATTGCTCATCAGTCAAAATATAGTCCTCAGAAATCTCAAGTGGTAATTTCTCGTTCAAGTGGCTTCGTAGAACCCGAGTTAAAACATGAAGCTCAGTTAACATTAAATCCTCAGGAATCAAATCCTCAATTGCTGATCATTGACACTCAATTAATACCTAAATCAAAATATTATATTTTAGCTCCTATCAAAGAATTAAAATTGAATTCTAGTATTGGTAATATTGCCCAATTACAAGATTTCGGGCAACATAAGCTTCCCAAGCGCAACCAAAAGGTTGTAAGCACAACGCGGTCAGTACCAACAACTAAGTTTGATTATTTAGCTAAATTTCGAAATAAATTCGAAAACAATAGGAATAAATACATGGCTGAATTAGAAAAAAGGGTAGAGGAACTCGATAACTCCAATCACATTGACAGTATACAAGAAATTTTAAATTCTATAAGCACACCCACAACTCCTGCCTCCCTGCCCCTGCTGACCAAAGGAAACGATTCTCAACCTCCTACCCCTTCTAAGCCACATATAGTACCTAGCCCCACACTGACTCCCCAACCAGTTTTACACAACGTAAATGAATTACTCAACCCAATGTTCCAATTGCAGTCACCACCGTCAGGATTGAAGTCTCAATTGCAGTCCCAATTACACTCACAGTTGGAAGGATCTCTGTCCCAATTGCAGTCACAGTCGCAGTCGAACTCACAGTCGTCAGGATCACTGTCTAAGTTACAGTCCCATTTAAACTTACAGTCAGCTGACTCGCAGTCCCAGTTGGAAACGCAATCAAATTCACACTTGTCAAGCTTACTGTCCCACTTACAGTCCCATTTAAGCTTACAGTCAGCTGACTCACAGTCCCCATTGAAACTACAATTGCAGTCACACCCACAATCAGGATCACTGTCCCAATTGCAATCACAGTCCCAACTACAGACACAGTCAAAGTCGAACTCACAATCGTCAGGATTGCAATCTCAATTACGGCCTCAATTAAACTCACAATCAGCTGACTCACATTCCCAATTGCAATCGCAGTCAAACTCACACTTGTCTGGATTACTGTCCCAATTAGAGTCCCATCCAGACTTACAATCAGCTGACCTACAGTCCCAATTGGAACAACAGTCGCAGTCAAACTTACAATCGTCGGGCTCTCTGTCCCAATTGCAATCACAGTCCCAGTCGCATTCACAATCGTCAGAATTGCAGTCTCAATTACAGTCTCAATTAAACTCACAATCAGCTGACTCACATTCCCAATTGCCATCGCAGTCAAATTCACACTTGTCTGGATTACTATCCCAATTAGAGTCCCATCTAAACTTACAGGCAGCTGACCCACAGTCCCAATCGGAACAAAAGTCGCAGTCAAACTCACAGTCGTCAGGATCACTGTCCCAAATGCAGTCCCAACTACACTCGCAGTTGGAAGGATCTCTGTCCCAATTGCAGTCACAGTCGCAGTCGAACTCACAGACGTCAGGATCACTCTCTAAATTACAGTCACAATTAAACTCACTGTCACAGTTGTCAGGCTTATTGTCCCAATTAAATTCCCATTTAAGCACAGAGTCAGCTGACTCACAGTCCCAATTGCAATCGCAGTCAAATTCAGACTTACCAGGCCTACTGTCCCAATTACAATCACATATAAACTTACAGTCAGCAGAGTCACAGTCTCAGTTGGAACAACAGTCGCAGCCAAACTTACTTACGTCAGGCTCTCCTGCCCAAATGCAATCCCAATTAAACTCACAATCGTCAGGGTCACAGTCCCAATCGCAAACCCAACAGTCGAAAGGATCTCCGTCCCAATTGCAACCACAGTCGCAGTCACATTCACTTAATCAATTACAGTCTCAAATACACTCACAGTCGGAAGGACTGTCCCAATTGGAGTCACAATTACAGTCCCAACAACAGGCTCAGTCAAACTCACAATCCCAGTCACAGTTAAACGCGCAGTCATTAGGATCCCTGTCCCAATCGCAGTCGCAGTCATCGGTTCCATTTATTCCAAATGAAAGCCTTCAAAAGTCTAACAATGAAGGAAGTCTTTCACCGGACAATGGTGATCTAAAAATTACAGTACAGTACAATCCGAACAATCCACCGAAATTCTTCTCTCAGGCGGACATCTTGGATGACTCGAAGCTGACAACGGTGAGTAATGATCTGCCACATATCAATCTGATAAATCGAATCTAAGACAAATCTTCTTAAACTTGACCAACAGGTGCATCTGATTGAAAAGTACGGCTACCCATCGGAGACCATCTACGTCGACTCGGATGATGGCTACAAGCTATGTCTGCATCGCATTCCTCGTCCTAGAGCCCAACCTGTCCTACTGGTCCACGGCCTGATGGCCAGTTCTGCCTCGTGGGTGGAATTGGGACCTTCGAATGGCCTGGCTTACATCCTTTACCGAAAGGGTTACGATGTCTGGATGCTGAATACCAGAGGCAACATATACTCCCGGGGTCACGTTGGTCATCGCCCTAAACGTCGGAAATACTGGGACTTCTCCTTCCACGAGATCGGAAAGTACGATGTACCCGCAGCCATCGACCTGATCCTGAGTCGCACCATGATGCCCCAGCTCCAGTACATTGGCCACTCGCAGGGCTCCACCGTCTTCTTTGTGATGTGCAGCGAAAGACCCGAGTATGCCACCAAGGTGCAGCTCATGCAGGCCCTGTCCCCAACCGTTTATCTCCAGGAGAACCGCAGTCCAGTGCTGCAGTTCCTCAGCATGTTCAAGGGAAAGTATTCGGTGAGTATGATAAGGGAGTCCTGGGGGCTGCCGGATGTTTTTATAACCTATCAGGGGTGCCTTATAATATTTAAATATATATTCTTCTGCAGGTCTAACTCATTATAAAATACCATTTGAAAGTTGCTGTAAAATATATAACTTCGTATTCAATATTTTTTGTACAAAAAAATATGATTAGTCAAAATGGCGAATTCTCATGTAACTATAATAATTTTTTGGTATATGTAGTTTTTGTAGTAGTAAATTTATATTGTTTTGTTAACTATTATATAGTAAAGTACCATCATTTTAATGTACTTAAAATACACAACTAGCCTAACTGCTACATTCAGTGCAAAACTGAAAGGTTAATACTTAGTTTTTTGTTCATAGTTTGGATAGCTAAAAGTATGTGCAGACTTTATGTCCAGTTTCGCGGTCAAAACAAGTTTACTATAAACATTAATAATTAGCCAATTTACAAGGGAGTTAAATAACCTCTGGTAGCCTTTCGAGTACGCATAACGTGGCTATTCATTATTTTCTGGTTATCTTTGCAGATGTTGCTGAACCTACTGGGCGGCTACAAGATCTCGTCCAATACCAAGCTTATCCAGCAGTTCCGCCAGTACATCTGCTCCTCCTCGGAGCTGGACAGTCGCATCTGCGCTATCTTTGATTTTGTCCTCTGCGGGTTTGACTGGAAGAGCTTTAATGAGGTAAGTTTGGAGATCGGAGTTTGATTTTGTACTCTTTTGGATTAACAACTGAAACTATTTTAGACCCTTACACCCATTGTGGCGGGACACGCCTCCCAGGGAGCCTCTGCCAAGCAGATCCTCCACTACGCCCAGATGCAGGGAGACCTTGTCTTCCAGCATTTCGACCATGGCCCTGTCCTCAATCTCATTCGCTACGAGTCCCGCGATCCACCAGCCTACAACCTCTCGCAGGCGACCAGCCATGTGGTGCTCCACCACGGCGCAGGCGACTGGCTGGGATCCGACTCGGATGTGGCCAGGCTGGAGGAGCAACTGCCCAATCTCGTCGAGAGCCACAAGGTGAACTTCGATGGCTTCTCACACTTCGACTTCACGCTCTCGAAGGATGTGCAGCCGCTGGTCTACAGCTACGTCCTCCAACACATGTCAATTTGGCCGCCAGATATTCCAATTGTGGTATTAAATCCATGAAAAAGTTTAGGTTAAAAGTTTCAGTAAAGTAATAACCAGGGTGATATGTGACCTCCTAGCATAAAATATGTAGTACATAGAACCAGAATTAAAACTATTATTATTATTTACTAAGTATGTAAATCTGTAAGTTAATTTGAAAATTTCGGTTGCAATGTTCTTGATTTAACCAAGCTACGCAAAATGATTGCTTATTATGGTTTTTCATATGTTAATTTTATAACAAACAACATTCGATGTATGTTGATGAAATATTATTTACTAAAACAAATCACGATCAATCTGAGTAACAGTTAAAACATTACGAATTTGCGTAATTTAAACGTTTATCTTAATTGTTCAATTAAAACAGCAGTATAGAATTATAGTAAATAACTTATTGTGGAATTTGGCTTTATTGGTGGTTTAACATAGTTAGTATTATTTTTAAAATTTCCTAAAGGGTTTATGGGTATTCAATCATATTTATCATATAAAATACAAAATGACAAGCTTAGTTTAACCTTACGAATGATTGAGCGTGGTTCCCCAAGCGGTAGGTTAAACAGAGTTCTAAGAATGATTATTAGCGAAAAACTGGTAAAAGCAAAAATATGGGTTTTCAGAATAATAATATCGAAACAGTTTTTTGAAAACTCGCACTTCTTGTGAAACTGTTAATAAGGGTTTCTTTGGGGATTTGGCCATCAATTTACTAGATGTACTGCGGTTCTGGTTCCATTCCATCAGCGAAAGAAACGAAATCAATGCTTACGAGCAGCTACGAAAATTAGCATATTCCTGGCCCCAGGCGTTTCCATAAATTTCACATCCTGAACGCATATTTACACGCCGCGAGGCCAAGTTTTCAAATTAAGTTTGCAATCGAAATGAGGCGAAAGGAAGCCAGGACCAAAGCTTTAAATTGCTCACGTGTGTGACACATTTCTTTCGGCGGAGTCACGACAATGGCGGAAAAGCGGAAGCGGAAACGCGAAATGTGAAAAATGCGCAGAGCAAACAAAAGACGGCCGAGGGGGGTGCGACATCAGGGGGTGGTGGAACGTGTCCTTTAACAGCTCCACGTACGCAGGACACGAGGCACGAGCCACAGCCTCTGCACCAGCAGCTATTTTATATCTAGGTTTGTCTATTTCTCTTTAGCTCAGCCGAATAAAAATAGGAATTAAATTATTTTTCCGAACAACAACACTTTCCATTTTTTAATTTTATGGCGTCTCGGCCTACTGTATGTGCCGCTGTCACTCTCTTCGAACAAAATTAGTGTTGGAAAATCTTTTTAAAACTTGAAAAAGGGGAATATGAAAACTACAAGTTTGTGAGTTTTTTTTTTTACCCTTGCAGCCATTACAAAAATTAAATATTCTATAATACGACTCTATTTTAATTATTATTTTAGTAACATAAAAACTTTGCCGATTTTTCAATACTTTTCGATTGCCTCAGAGCTGCCCCTATAATATAGTCGTTCGATTCTAAGATTATAAGAAACAACAATATTTTTGAGTATATCGGTATATTTTAAAAAACACTCAATAGTACATTTTCAGGAGAAATATATTCACTTCAAAGAACTTTCCTTAAAATAATATAGCCACCTTTTTTTTTTAAATACAACTTTAAATGAATTTTTTTTATAAGTCAAAAAAATACTAGTTAACTTTAACACTTTATATAACTGTAACAAAGTTCTTCCACTGTTTACTTTTTTAAAGTTATTAATAACTTTAGCTATTTTTGGGGCTTTTTAGTTTGACAACACTACTCCGCACACGGTAGGCCCATTGTGAGCCCCAAAACCCTGCGTACGTGTGTTATTTAATGCTTATCTCTATCCTTTTCCCATTAGTGTTATTGATGTTGGCAGTGGGGCCGTTGTCACCCGCCCTCAAAACTTCCCCACAGGTGCGGCGCCCTCGCCCGCTCGATAAACTTGCCCTCCGGCTAAGCGCTGACAATTGATGCCACGGATACCCCAGCCAAATCACGCGCTAAACATTATTCTAATGTCCCCAGGCAGTCACATATGTACGAGTATATTCGAGTCGGCAGCTTTTTCCTCTTTGTTTCACATGCGGGGAGTTTTCCGGGAATGTTTAAAGCCCTGCCAACTCATTTCCCGGAAGAGGACCCTTGGGGAAACCGTTTTCCTCGTATTGAACAGAGTCGCGTCCTTGAAGGATATGGGCTTGAAATTTAATAACAATTCTGGTAAGTACGGCGGATGGCTAAAGAGCAAAAATATGTAGAGTTGTGTATTTTATGATTTCAGATTGTTTAAATAAATATCTATTGGAATTATCATTTTAGTATCTTAAAATATAGAAAAACAGTGTTAAAACTTAATTCAATTTAAATAAGTTCCTAAGGATGTGGCAACCCTTCAAGTTTTCTGAGAAACCCTACCAAAAGAGTTGAAAAACTCGACCTATTTTCCCACACTGATACCAATGACGGGAAAAATGCACCACTGTAAGCCAACGACGGAAAATCTCGGCCGGCTTTGACAATTTCATCTTTATCACAGACAAGGCAGGACAGTAATTGTGTTTTGTTATGTAGCTTTCGACTGGTGGAGAAACCGTTCACACATTTTAAACACCGATTCCCAACAAATTCAAATGTTTTGCCAACATTTCGTATTAGAATAGTAGCACAAAAAATAAAAGAAGCGGTCGAGGAATTTTGCGCGACCCCAAGTGTATTGAAACCCCTTCTGATTTCAACGACGACCAGAGTTCTCTATTTTCTATGTAAAGCGACGAGCCAAGGAGGCCAAAAAAACCAGAGTAAATCCCACAATCGAAAACCCGCCATCAAAGGAGCAACGAAGCCGGACCAGATGTGCTAGCTAAGATACGTGGTCCACAACCAGAAGTCCCAGACGAGTCCCAAAAAGCAGCCATCAGATAGTGACCCAGAGATCCCAGAGATCCCATAGATCCCAAATCGCAGAAAAAGAGATTCCAGGTAATGTGGTCCCGCCGGTACAAGCTGCGTCCGCAGCAGCGTCTGCCCCTGGTCCACGAGCAGATCGCGATGCAGTGCGCCCGGAACATAGTGCGCGTGGCCTCCGCCATGCCGCAGCCCCAGCCCCGCTCCCCCTCCGGCCATGTCCCCGTTCTGGTGGAGCTGCGCCGCACGGACGAGCCCACCGTCTACCGCTACCAGGTGAACGTGCCACCGTCGGGCTGGCCCCCCGAAGATCCGGAGGAGGGCGACTGCCTCCAGCAAATAGTGCTGCCCGGCACTCTGGAGACTCTGGGTCTGAAGCTCCCTCAGCCGGAGAGACCACCCTGTCCGATGCACGGGCGTGCCATCTTGGAGGCGGCCAACAGCGCCATCGAATTGTGGTCCCCGAACTCCGGCTCTGGGTCGGCTCCATCGGTGATGACCCAGAGCTCGATCCACCTGGTCAACGAGCAGATAGAGCCCAATGCCCACGTGGATGTGGCCACGTTCAGTGAGCCCGTCGTCGCAGGCGAGACACCGGACACCATCAGGACGCACTTCATGGCCACCCTGTACCAGCAGCACCTCAGTCCGCTGAGCTACTCGGACATCTGGGTGCAGGACGGACCACCGCGCCACCTGCGCCCCCGGGAGACCACGCATCCGAACCCACAGCTCTGCCTGGGCGAGAATAACGAGTATGTGGCCATGAAAGAGACACGGCACACCAATGGCTACAGGCCAAGGGCAGACCAACGCAGGGTGGCCGAGCTGTGCCTGGACAGCAACGACGAGTACGTGCCCAATGAGCAACTGCAGCGCCAGCGCGCCAACGCAATCCCAAATGGGATGCGAAAGGAGCAGCACTTCTATGTGCAGTATAGTCACCATGAGGAGTCGCACTCGCCCCTGAAAGGACTCAACGGCTACAAGGGCGATCTCTGCGGCTATGGATACGTCGGCAAGGAGCATGGCAAACCCAAGAAGGCCGGTGATCAGTCGATGGCCTACTCAGATCAAGACAAGGTCCTGCGCCTGCGCAGCCAGGATCACGGCGACCGGTGGCAGAGGCAGGGTCAGGGTCAGGGTCACGGTCCCACTCAAATGCAAGGACGTGTGGCCATGATCGAACCGCGAATGCGCCAGGAAGCCCCCGCCCCCGTGGAGAACAAGTCCTCCTTGCCAAATGTCACAGGTGAGATGAGGCCTTTAATTCTGGGAGTTACTAATTTGAAGTAGCACTTAGCTCTTATATCAGGATAATTGCCAAATAAGTTTTTATTATAAAATGTTGCTTAGACTGACAAAATTTTATATTCAGTTTTATTTCCGTACAGAATGAAGCCTTTAATTCTAAGAGAGTTTATATTAAGATTAAGTGCTTGAATTTAAGTGGTTAATTCTGGGAACTCTGCAATTGAATTTAAGTGCTATTAGTGAGGATTATTTATTATCTTAAAAATTAAATTAATAGTAAGCTTCAATAATTTTATAGAACAATAATTTGATAGTAGTGTGTCTTCGCAACATATCTGCTTCAAGTTAAAGTGCCAGAGTACAAATAACAAAAACATGCAATAAACGCTTGTAAGGTAAAACATTGAAATATATTTTTGTATTCCACATCCAATGCATATTAGACATTGTTGAATCTACAAAAAACATCCATTTATTTTGCTTATAATTTGTAGAAAACCATAAATTTATGAGTTATGGTTTAAATTGTATATAGAACCTCAGCAGAAATAGCCAAAAATTCAAAAATGTTTTGATTTGTCCAATTTCTTCAGCCTTAGAAATACTAATCAATGATCACCACCTTCCGCAGAACTGGCGGTGGCACCATTGGAGCCGCCGCACTATCCCCGGGAGCTGCAGGCGCTCTTCGGCTGGAACTACTGCGCCCTGTGCCACACGGCCATGCGATCAGTGCGGACCGCGATGGACCACTACTCGTCGCGGGCCCACGAGCGCCGGATCTGCACCTGGCTGGAGCGCCAGTGCCCCGCCACACAGGGCGCCCAGGGTGGCACCAGTGTGGACCCCATCGGTGTGTCGGAGGAGGCGCTGCGGTTCATGCGCACCGCCCGCCCCGTGGACTTCTACTGCGACCTGTGCGACCTCAAGCTGACCTCGGTGATGCACGCCCAGCAGCACTTCTTCGGGCGCCGCCACCGCCTGGTGGCCCGCCAGATGACCCGGCCGAACGGAGATGGCTACTACGATCCGCGGGGCAGGTGGGTGCGCACGGACGCCAAGTACCTGATGTGCGAGCTGTGCGACGTGAGCATCACCTCGGAGTCCCAGATGGCCATGCACATGGCGGGAGCACGTCACCGCAGGCGGGTGCAGTCCGTCTTCGCGGGCGGATCCCGCGGGGGCGGGGCACTTGGTGTGGGCGTAGGAATGGGCATGGGAATGGGCGTAGGAATGGGCATGGGAATGGGCATGGGAATGGGAATGGGAATGGGAATGGGCATGGGCATAGCGCCGTTCAACGGACGCCAGTTGTACCGGGTGAGCACCAACGGATCGCTGGCCCCTCTGCGTCCAGTGGGGCTGCAGTTCCTCCAGACCTGCCCGCCGCCTCCCGCCCGGGATCCCAGTGCCGCCTACTTCTGCAAGACATGCAACATTACGCTGAACCACATGAAGTCGGTGAAGCAGCACGAGGAGGGGCGCATGCACCGGCGCAATCTGGACAGTCTTCCCGGCCAGGCGGTCCTCTACGAGTGACCTTGCGGCGTCCTTCGGGGGCTGAAAGGTGGGCGGATGTCCGACGGAATGAAGCAGTACGAGTTGACGAGCAAAGTGAGGAAGGTGCGGGGCGGGGGAGAGCCTCAGACCGGAGTCCTTGGACACCGACAGGTGGAGTCTGAATCCCGAGCCCGTTGTTGCCGCACACACCCCGCCGACCCCCGGCGGATCTTCTTGCTGTGCTGTGTGTTATTTGCAATTTATTTTTGATCTAACTACCTTTTTTTATATGTTTTCTAGTAGTAATAATAAATATCCCCCAAAAAACTTCCAAATCCTTTATTGACAAAAGGCTTTTTTTAATTTTTCTAATATACACCGACTTGTTATAATGTAAAATAAACAAGAAAGGAAAGCTAACTTCGGGCGGAGCCGAAGTTGATATACCCTTGCAGAATACTCTGTAAATTATATTCTCCAAAATTATTCATATGATGCATTCTTAATACTCAAAAAAAAAACCCAACTTCCTAACTTTAAAAACATCAAAGTTATGGCTTTTCCAATCGTTCAGTTATATGGCAGCTATAGGATATAGTCGGCCGATCCTTATGAAATTTTGTAGGTCGGATTAATTGGCCAAATAAAAAACCCATAGAAAGTCCCAACTTCCTAACTTAACAAACAGCAGAGTTATGGCATTTCCGATCAATCAGTTATATGGCAGCTATAGGATATAGTCGGCCGATCCTTATGAAATTTGGTAAGTCGGATTGATTGGCCAAATATAAAACCCATAAAAAGTCCCAACTTCCTAGCTTAACAAACAGCAGAGTTATGGCATTTCCGATCAATCAGTTATATGGCAGCTATAGGATATAGTCGGCCGATCCTTATGAAATTTGGTAAGTCGGATTGATTGGCCAAATATAAAACCCATAGAAAATCCCAACTTCCTAACTTTACAAACACCAAAGTTATGGCATTTCCGATCGTTCAGTTATATGGCAGCTATAGGATATAGTCGGCCGATCCCGGCCATTCCGACTTATATACTGCGTGCAAAGGAAAGAAGGGTGTGTGCAAAGTTTCAATTCGATATCTTTAAAACTGAGAGACTAGTTTGCGTAGAAACAGACAGACGGACAGACGGACAGACGGACAGACGGACATGGCTATATCAACTCAGGAGGTGATCCTGATCAAGAATATATATACTTTATAGGGTCGGAGATGTCTCCTTCACTGCGTTGCACACTTTTGACCAAAATTATAATACCCTCTGCAAGGGTATAAAAACAATGACCATAGTAAGTCCTATGGTCGATCTATCCATATCATAGATGATTTTAAAGTTTCTCATTTTAAAACTGTGATTTCGGTGCATAGTTATTTGACGAATTTGTTGTCTAGACCTTTACAAAAACTAGAGATAACAAGTAGAAAAAAGCTTTTTTAACTTATTTCCTTGCTTTTAAATTTACCAAAGGTTGGATGAACAATGACTAGAAATAACTCACATGAAAATAGTTCAAAAATTTGATCAACGTTAAATTGAAAAATTTGAATGCAGATTTTTAGAGAATTTAACCTTTCTGCAAGAGTATAAAAACGAATTGGCTTATTCTGAAAAATAAAAAAACAGTTGTCACTGTCTAACAAGAAAGGAAAGCTAACTTCGGGCGGAGCCGAAGTTGATATACCCTTGCAGAATATTCTGTAAATTATATTCTCCAAAATTATTTATATGATGCATTCTTAATACTCATAAAAAATTCCAACTTCAACTTTAAAAACACCAAAGTTATGTCATTTCCAATCGTTCAGTTATATTGCAGCTATAGGATATAGTCGGCCGATCCTTATGAAATTTGGCAGGTCGGATTGATTGGCCAAAAATAAAACCCATAGATAATCCCAACTTCCTAACTTTAACAACAACAAAGTTATGGCATTTCCAATCGTTCAGTTATATGGCAGCTACAGGATATAGTCGGCCGATCCTTATGAAATTTGATAGGTCGGATTGATTGGCCAAAAATAAAATCCATAGAAAATCCCAACTTCCTAACTTTACAAACACCAAAGTTATGGCATTTCCGATCAATCAGTTATATGGCAGCTATAGGATATAGTCGGCCGATCCTTATGAAATTTGGTAGGTCGGATTGATTGGCCAAAAATAAAATCCATAGAAAATCCCAACTTCCTAACTTAACAAACACCAAAGTTATGGCATTTCCGATCAATCAGTTATATGGCAGCTATAGGATATAGTCGGCCGATCCTTATTAAATTTGGTAGGTCGGATTGATTGGCCAAATATAAAACCCATAGAAAATCCCAACTTTCTAACTTTACAAACACCAAAGTTATGGCATTTCCGATCAATCAGTTATATGGCAGCTATAGGATATAGTCGGCCGATCCTTATGAAATTTGGTAGGTCGGATTGATTGGCCAAATATAAAACCCATAGAAAATCCCAACTTCCTAACTTTACAAACACGAAAGTTATGGCATTTCCGATCAATCAGTTATATGGCAGCTATAGGATATAGTCGGCCGATCCCGGCCGTTCCGACTTATATACTGCGTGCAAAGGAAAGAAGGGTGTGTGCAAAGTTTCAATCCGATAGCTTTAAAACTGAGAGACTAGTTTGCGTAGAAACAGACAGACGGACAGACAGACAGACGGACAGACGGACAGACGGACATGCTTATATCAACTCAGGAGGTGATCCTGATCAAGAATATATATACTTTATAGGGTCGGAGATGTCTCCTTCACTGCGTTGCACACTTTTGACCAAAATTATAATACCCTCTGCAAGGCTATAAAAATAACTGAATCTGCAATCTGGGAATCTGTTGAAAGGAAAAGATTGTGTCAGTATGCCAATCTTATTTGCGAGATCTATATGATTTGTATACAATCTTAAAACATATGATTTCTCCAAAAATGTCAGTAAATGTTTCAAAACGCTTAAGTTGTGTTGATTTGCCTGTTATTTAATGATCATTCTAAGGCATCTATATGATATAGTCTTAAAATTTTTATAAAATTAAAACTATTATTCTGAGATTGCTAAAATTTACTATATCTTGGAGTGTATGGAAATATTTTAGGAAACGACAAAGTTATAGTTACGAACTGACGGAAGTGGCTAATTCGAATCGCCTAATATAACAATGAAGCTAGGTCGATTTTACTCTCAAGTTTTCGGTCATTTCTATGAAAGCTATATGATATTATTGTCCGATTTCAATAAAAACAAGAAAGGAAAGCTAACTTCGGACGGAGCCGAAGAATATTCTGTAAATTATATTCTTCAAAATTATTCATATGATATATTCTTAATACTCATAAGAAGTCCCAACTTCCTAACTTTAAAAACACCAACGTTATGGCTTTTCCGATCGTTCAGTTATATGGCAGCTATATGATATAGTCGCCCGATCCGGCTCGTTCCGACTTATATACTACCTGCAACAGAAAGACAACATTTGGGAATGTTTCAAGCAGATAGCTTTAAAACTGAGGGACTATTTTGCGTAGAAACGGACGGACGGACGGACAGACGGACATGGCTAGATCGACTCTCCTGGTGATGCTGATCAAGAATATATATACTTTATAGGGTCGGAAATGTCTCCTTCACTGCGTTGCAAACTTTTGACTGAAATTATAATACCCTCTGCAAGGGTATAAAAACACCAAACTTATGACATTTCCAATCGTTCAGTTATATGGCAGCTATAGGATATAGTCGGCCGATCCTTATGAAATTTGGTAGGTCGGATTGATTGGCCAAAAATAAAACCCATAGAAAATCCCAACTTCCTAACTTTACAAACACCAACGTTATGGCTTTTCCGATCGTTCAGTTATATGGCAGCTATATGATATAGTCGCCCGATCCGGCTCGTTCCGACTTATATACTACTTGCAACAGAAAGACAACTTTTGGGAAAGTTTCAAGCAGATAGCTTTAAAACTGAGGGACTAGTTTGCGTAGAAACGGACGGACGGACGGACAGACGGACGGACAGACGGACAGACGGACAGACGGACATGGCTAGATCGACTCTCCTGGTGATGCTGATCAAGAATATATATACTTTATAGGGTCGGAAATGTCTCCTTCACTGCGTTGCAAACTTTTGACTGAAATTATAATACCCTCTGCAAGGGTATAAAAAATTAAAACTATTATTCTGAGATTGCTAAAATTTACTATATCTTGGAGTGTATGGAAATATTTTAGGAAACGACAAAGTTATAGTTACGAACTGACGGAAGTGGCTAATTCGAATCGCCTAATATAACAATGAAGCTAGGTCGATTTTACTCTCAAGTTTTCGGTCATTTCTATGAAAGCTATATGATATTATTGTCCGATTTCAATAAAAACAAGAAAGGAAAGCTAACTTCGGACGGAGCCGAAGAATATTCTGTAAATTATATTCTTCAAAATTATTCATATGATATATTCTTAATACTCATAAAAAGTCCCAACTTCCTAACTTTAAAAACACCAACGTTATGGCTTTTCCGATCGTTCAGTTATATGGCAGCTATATGATATAGTCGCCCGATCCGGCTCGTTCCGACTTATATACTACCTGCAACAGAAAGACAACATTTGGGAATGTTTCAAGCAGATAGCTTTAAAACTGAGGGACTATTTTGCGTAGAAACGGACGGACGGACGGACAGACGGACATGGCTAGATCGACTCTCCTGGTGATGCTGATCAAGAATATATATACTTTATAGGGTCGGAAATGTCTCCTTCACTGCGTTGCAAACTTTTGACTGAAATTATAATACCCTCTGCAAGGGTATAAAAACACCAAACTTATGACATTTCCAATCGTTCAGTTATATGGCAGCTATAGGATATAGTCGGCCGATCCTTATGAAATTTGGTAGGTCGGATTGATTGGCCAAAAATAAAACCCATAGAAAATCCCAACTTCCTAACTTTACAAACACCAACGTTATGGCTTTTCCGATCGTTCAGTTATATGGCAGCTATATGATATAGTCGCCCGATCCGGCTCGTTCCGACTTATATACTACTTGCAACAGAAAGACAACTTTTGGGAAAGTTTCAAGCAGATAGCTTTAAAACTGAGGGACTAGTTTGCGTAGAAACGGACGGACGGACGGACAGACGGACGGACAGACGGACAGACGGACAGACGGACAGACGGACAGACGGACATGGCTAGATCGACTCTCCTGGTGATGCTGATCAAGAATATATATACTTTATAGGGTCGGAAATGTCTCCTTCACTGCGTTGCAAACTTT